GGGGACTTTTTACAAGGGCCTGTAGTGACAGCAGAAGGGGTAACAGATGTAAGTTGAAAGTGGAGAGGTTTAGATTAGATATCAGGAAGAAATTCTTTCACGGACAGGCTGGTGAGGCACTGGAACAGGTTGCCCAGAGAAGCTGTGGATGCCCCATCCCTGGATGTGTTCAAGGCCAGGCTGGATGTGGCTTTGAGCTGGTCTAGTGGAAGGTGTCCCTGCCCATGGCAGGGGGGTTGGAACTGGATGATCTTTAAGGTCCCTTCCACCCCAAACCATTCTATGATTCTGTGATTAAGAACGTCACCATTGGAGGGTTAACATTACATTTAATTCCTCATACAAGTATCTCAGCAGTGTACCTTTTGAGGAAAGATGATGCCTGTTTCCTTGAAATGAAATCATGACAGCTGTTGGATAATTAATAAGCTGAAATGCTGATTCAGTTGAACTTTTAAACAGTGATACCAGAATTACTCTGTATGCCCTGGGGACTCTCCCACATCCTGGTTCCATTCCAGATCCAGAGGTTAAGAACACACTCATGTCATTACAATGAATGACAAACCAGTTCCAGTATAATGGAAACATTGTTTACATGTAGTGTTGAAGGTGTCCTCCTGTGGAAGTTGAGTAGATTTTCTGTGTCAGATTTGTTCAGTTAGTAGTGCCTAGGCATCTGCCTATTTTCTTGGGTCTCCTGTGTGAAGAAAGTAGCAAGTGGGTTGTACCCCCTTATAGCTTCATGGCAATAGGGTACGCTGTGCAGCCATGTCCACTAGACCTTTATACTCCTGTGACTCTGATGTGACATCACTATCACTCATGTCTTGGAGAATGGATTATTGGTCAGGTCAGATCATCCATCCCATTTGGATGTGAGAGCAACAATCACAATAAACTAGTTCCCTTTGGTACTGGATACCTATGGTGATCCATTTGCATGTCTGATGTGACACACTTTGCTTAAAAGGATACCTTTCCCTCATACTTCTCAGGAGTCATCTCCAGAGGCTTACATTTTGTCTTCTTTCCAATTTCTTTGTCAATGCCTCTTTCTCTAGCAAGTGACCCCAATTGCTTGGCTTCTCTGCCCTCTAATTTGATGCTACTGGCCCCGTTATCCCAGCAGCAGAGCAGCCAAGTCATAGTTATGTTCATCTTGATGCTGGCCAAAGTCTCTCCAGCTATCCTGGAGCTCCTTCATGGGTAAAGATTGAGTGGTTACTTCTGCATCATTAGCAACATTGTCATCCTCTGTCTCTGTCACTATGGAAGTACATAATGTCTCTGTCTCCTGTGTATCTATGTCCTGGGATAGCCCTGCTGCCGCCTCCTCCTCTGCCAGACAGACTGATTTGCTTGTCCATTTCTTTTTCTGTACTGGGGCATGTGATACTGGCGCAGGTTGACACGGACAATAGCACTGGCACACATGGGTTGGTATGGCTACGTTGAACCCTGCAGTGTGTGGAGCTGTTGTGGGAGGTGGAACCACAGTGTCTGTTGAGGGGAATTGGTGTTGCTGCCGGGGTGGAGATGGTGTTGGGAGGGGCTGGGAGGTGGAGGGGACAATGTGGTACAGTGGCTGCAGTGTCGAGTTGATGTTGGCACAGGGGTAGAGTGTATGAGTCCACCCACTGATTGGAGCAATTCAGATGGCTGCACGGAACCTGCCTCTGCTCCGATCACTGGTAGCAGGTGGGGAAGCATTCCCAAACAGTTCTTTAACTTTGCACAAGATGACGAGAACATTCAGAAATGTGCTGATCAGTAACCATAGGTCACCCCGAGACCATGAAAAATTTCCAAAATACTCATACACTTGTGCCACTGGCCAGAGATGAGAGGAAAAATTTGAATAATTTCTACACATCCAACCAACTGAATAATTCTTTCTCCAACACACTGAACAATTACTACTATGTAGGCTGTGTCCCAGAGGGGAAAAGGGGAAAGGTGTAATTAGTGAAGGTCACCACGAGATGACACATGAAGCACACAAATACTTCCAAAATCCTGTTTTAATTCTTTCTGACAAGTGGATTGGGAAGCAAGTAAGAAATTGTGTAGCTATCATTGTATGCAGGGATAGGGTGTAATCTGCTGTTCCTGGACAGAACCAGCTATTTATACCTCACTTTTGGAGGCACATAGTCTTTTTGAAATTTCTCACTTCCCCCTGAATAAATTGCAGTATCTAGCTTTGGCCTTCAGCTTTTCTAGAAAGGTGGAAAATTTACTTGTGACAGATCGATTTAATACATGCTGATGGAAATAGAAGTGGGGTTGAATACTGGGTCATAAGTACTTACTTCTTGGAGGAAAAAAGAAAGGAAAAAGTTGAGGCATCACAGCAGCTTCTCTGGGCTATGGACATGAACTTTCTAAGTAGAGGTGAAAGAAGTTGCTCCTTTGGTGCTCACAGCTGTAAGAGAAGTAAATGAGGAAAAAAAGTACTGAGTTTTTCCTGTGCCTAAGACAGCCCAAGCCTTTTGCCAATACATAGACCTCTTCTGTAGACCCCTTCCACTTATTGTCCTGACTTGCATGTTAAAATTCATGTCCACATAATCTCACCTGACAGGGAACAAATGAGCTATTGCCAATTTGAGTGACTACTTGTGCTAATTACATAAATACATGAGGTTGTTGTTTCTTTAGCTGGCAGATATGAAGATGCTGAATAAATTACCGCATTTAAGAGACAATATACCTTTTTATGGGAGATGATCGGTACACCCTTCCTGCCATCTCCTCTAAATTGGTAGTTGTTGATCAGACATATCTAAGAGTCTGTGATTTGCTTCTCTTTTGAAGAAGACTGGAGACTAGGGGTGAAAACACTTGGCAGTAGCAGCCTTATCAAAAAGCCGTTTGGTTGGTTGGTTGGTTTTTTTGTGCCCTACCAAGAGGAGTATGCCAAGAATGCTCATGCTGTTTATCAGATTGTCTCGCTGTGCCTGTGTTTACTACTCTGCAAGCATACTCTGTGTAACATTGTATGCAGCATGCATATGTACTCTACCACAGGGAAGAGACAATTCATACATTCAAAATACGAATAGTTGTTCTGTGATCTGTATTCAACTGGTCTTACAGCAGTGTCCTTGAAGTTTTTCTAGAGAGAAATTTACACAGACATGAAAACTATGCTTGTGATGCCATGAAATCCAAAGTTAGAAATCAGAACTGAATAGTCAGAGTGACTATTCAGCAGGTATTCTCTATTGCAGTGCTGGGTGCACAGGGGATTGCTTCTCCAAAAATGTGCCTCCTGGGCACCATTCGTAACAAAAGTTATGTAGAGGTTAAACATACATATTCGTATAATTTATGAGAAGTGTTTAACATATTCATAGTTTTTCTGGGAATTCATTTGCCTATGTCCACTCCTCTCTGTACACACACACATTGCCTCCTGGTGGTGGTCTCCAAGGGTCTTTGGGGCTCCTCTGGTGGTGTTCTTGTAGTCCTTTTGCCAGTAAAATGTTGGCCTCTTGGCTTCTTTCATGCTTGTATAAGCAGAATTTGGTTTAAGCCAGTTCTGTAACTCACCTTGCAACTTAATTTCTCTTTTGTGGTTCAGATGTGTCTTGGACACCAAGTTCTCATAAAGCTAGACAATATCTCACCTATTGTTAAGTGTCAAGGTCTGCTATCTATGTTAGGAAATAATGGGAGCATTATACAACTGACTGCACAAAGTTAATATGTGGCTTTAAAATCAAGGATTAATACTTATGTATTTCTTCACTTGTATACAAGTTAGAAGACAAACTTTGAAATACAATCTAAATATTGCCAAGTATTACAGTTAGCAGTAAGATTTTATTGTTGGATTATCCAAGTATTTCTGAAGTGACATGGGACTGCCCCATCCCTGGAAGTGTTCAAGGCCAAGCTGGATGGGGCTTTGAGCAACCTGGTGTAGTGGAAGGTGTCCCTGCCCATGGCAGGGGGGTTGGAACTAGATGGTCTTTAAGGTCCCTTCCAACCCTAACCATTCTATGATTCTGTGATTCTATGACTCTGTATATCAGATATCAGCATGTTTTGTTCCTATTTGTAAACTCAAATCAAGCAGTCAAAGCTGGTTTATGAAACTGGAAGAGTGTTTCTGTTCACAGTGACCTGGGAGGAACTGATCTTGAGACCTGTAGATAGATTTGGGATGTAAAAGTTGTTTGAGATGAAATGTCAGAAACCTTTACACGAGAAAAGCAGTGCAAGTGCTTATCTTAGATGTGCTGGTTGCAGCATGACTCTTGGAAGATTTCATTGTTCTTCCTACTTCTTGGTAGTATTGTCACAACAAAAGA